CCAGGCTGCTCCTCCCATGGAGGAAGAGGAGTTCTTTGAGATCGATTCCAACGCGTACTACCAGATCCAGTGGACGGATGGGCCGTTCGGCTTTACTGTGCGCGAAGCGCAGTCGAAACAGGGATCTGTAGTCCTCATTACCAAACGCACCGGCAAGAGCACGTGTGCTGGTCTACGGCGTGTGGCCGTGGGCGATATCCTCATCAAGATCGGGGACAAGGACGTCCGTCAGCTGGGCTTCGAGCGATCGACCATGCACTTACGCAACGTTCCCAAGCCAGTGGTGCTGACGTTCCAAGCCATCGATTAGCAAGAAGTAGAAAGAGAGTCGCCAAGGGCAGCGCGTAGAAGACACTGCACATATTTGTTGAAGTTGACATTGTCATTCGCTATCAAAATATGGCTACACTCTGCCAACTTTTCGAGTAATCGGTTTTGACAGGATTGTTTTGTGCATTTTCATGATATTTTTAGGCCCTCCCAAGGCGATTGTCTCGTAGACGCACTCGTCGGTCCTCGCACTCTTGGTAGCCTAGTTAACGGCACGTCTAGGACCACTCAGTGTAAATTTCGCGCAGACGACATGACCGACCAAGTCCCTGCCGGTTTCAATGAAAAGTACCGCATTGGCCGTGTCATTGGCGAAGGTGTTGTGGCACATTTTGCCACATGTCCAATATCTTTAAAGCTTAACTGCGTTCTTGCCACATCAACAGGCAACTTTTCCGTTGTGAAGGAGTGCACCGACCGGAAGACAGGGGAGCGGTTTGCTGTCAAGTGTATCAACAAGGCGGCACTGAATCCAAAGGACCGCAGCAACTTGGAGCAGGAGATCGAGATCCTCAAAGACGTACGCGCGTGGTTTTAAGTTGCCGAAGATTTTTTAACAGTACTAACTTTTATTTTGCCTTTTTACCAGCTGAAGCATCCAAACATTATCAAGTTGTGCGACGTGTTTGACGGCGACGGCCCCATGTGCTTCTTGGTGATGGAGTACGCCGAAGGTGGAGAGCTCTTCGATCGCATCATCGCCAAGGAATACTACACCGAAGGAGAAGCAAAAAAAGTCATGAAAGTCGTGGCAAAAGTGCTGCGATACTGCCACGCCAAAGGTGTGACCCACCGCGACCTGAAACCTGAAAACCTGCTGTACGCGGATGAGACTGACAGCGCCGTGATCAAAATTGCCGATTTCGGGTTTGCCAAACTCGTCACAGAGGAGACAAACATGTCCACGATGTGCGGTACACCAGGTTACTACGCACCGGAGATCGTCCGCAAGTTGCCGTACGACAGCAAGTGCGACATCTGGAGTCTCGGGGTCATCGCCTACATTCTGTTGTGTGGTTTCCCTCCGTTCTACGATGAGAATCAAGTTGAGGAGATGCGAAAAGTGGGTTTTCTCTGATGCAATTTGCAACGACCTGATACAATAAAAAGACTGACGGGAATGTGTGTTTTGGACAGATTCTCAACGGCGACTTCGAGTTTGTGGCGCCGTATTTCGACGGCGTCTCGCAGCAGGCGAAGGACCTGATTTGCAAGATGCTCGTGGTCCAGCCGTCGAAACGTTTGACGGCTCAGGAAGTGCTGGATCACCCGTGGTTTAATGACATTAAGGAAGAGGATGACGATGCTCCAGTGCTATCAGTGGGCAAGAACTTGAAAGAGGCTAGGCGCCTGACTGCACGCAGTAAATTTCGTGCCGGTGTGGGTGCAGTCCTGGCCGTGACCAAGACGCAACGACTGCTCAAGGCAGCTCGCAGCCCGCCGACGTAGAAGCAAACACTAATGAAAAGAACCTGATGCTGTTCTTAACGCAATACAGCACTTGGACTCTTGAACCTAGGCGTCTAAAATATCTATAATAAATTGGGCCATTCAAAGTTATTATGTGCGCTTGGATTTAAATGTGGGGCGACTCGCAAAATGTTTTACGCTAGAATCCTGCGTAAGTACTACTGAACTATTGGTGCAGTACCACTTACACCGTTTACGTGACCGTCACGTGAGACTCTCACCGATTGCTCAAGAAAATGCGCATGTCTTTAAAAATGCATATTGATGCAACGCAACCGACGACGACGATGACGGGCACAATCTAGGTCAGGGCCTGACATAAGCTGTGCCCGTCATCGTCGGCACTTGTCGTCAGCTGCGTTGTATTTTCTAAACAAAGAAAAAAAAGCTTACTCATCGACGACTTTGTGATCGAAAAAAAAATCTGTGGGCCATTTTCTATTTTTTTTAAGAATGTCAATTATTTCTTGAAAAACAAGTGATAATTTCTAATTATTTTGTGCCGTAATGGAAGATCAGTATAGTATCTGAAAACATTGAATTCTTATAGTTGGTCTCTTCTTCATGTAGAATACATTATTTAGATCGTACGAGAGTAAACGCATGACCAATTGTTTCAGTACTCTCGTTTCAACTCGTAACGAGATAGTTGTGACAAGGACGGTTGTTAGAATAGTTAATTTTTAGTATGTAGTTGCGCTAGCAAACAAACAATAAAATGGTACAGTTCCAGAAGAAACCTTATTTTACCACGAGTACAGTCTCAGCATCAGGACGAACAGGATCATTGTGATACAAATTCCGCTCCCTGTCTGGTAACGACTCACGTTTTCTGTGGGAGGATAAAATTAAAAAACGAAATTTCAGTTTGTGTAAGACAAAGGCCAATTTGTGTCATTTAAGTTTGTAGAATAACGCAAGGCTTGAAATAACAAGTATCTAGAGTAAATCTGAATAAATGACGGATAGATTACCGATCGATATTCCCTGGACGAAGAAATTCTTATTCGAAGCCTGACTTATTCCAGCAAATAAAGTCCTCTTTTAATAAAAGCAGTTTCAGCAAGCGCGTTTCTTTTAAGTTACTTTCAATGAAAATAAGGTTTAACAAATAAAAAAATGATCGATTCGATAAGTGGAAGCGGAGTTTATTTTACTTACAGTTATAGTTGGTTTTAGAGAGCTTTTTTAATTAATTTTGCTGAGCGTCAAGCAAAAAGGATACTTACCAACGTCTTAGAGCCAATTAAATTGCGTACTTAGTCGGAGCTGTGACATTTGGTGTAAACTTCCATCGAAAAAACTGTAAAACTACCCTATTTCAATTGCTTTTAACAAAGGCTTTAAAATAACACTTATATCTCAGAAATTAAAAGAATATTGAGCTCACAACACTCCTATATGCATCGTCATTTGGACCCGCGAATCAAGATAGTCTTTTTGGGCGACCACAACTTCTTCAGTTTTAAGCCTTCCTTAGCTTAAAAGTGCTTAAGCGATAGAGGAGACGCCCCGCTTTCGGTTAGAGTGCTTAAATCGCGATTCGTCGTAAGTATCATTTTGAATGACGCCGTCTATTTTAAAAATTATTTGTTACCTCGAGCTCCCTAAGCTCAAGATCCATAGTTTTTCCCCTTGTAATGCTCAGTCCCATCCCGTTAATAATTAATCATACTCATATACTCATGGCATTGCTGCTCGCGGTAGCAACAATAAATGGTAATATCGAGCACTTCATAAGCTGACACAGATTCTCTATTTGTCTCGTTCCCACCACTACACTCAGCAACAACAGAAACTGGTTCTTCAATGGCATCAAGCGTTTCCTCAGGGGCTAAACACTTACCGCTATTTCACCCTGGTCGGTTCCTTGACACTTCTTTGAGCGGTGTTGTCATTGTTCGGGGCGCTTACAGTAGCTGCCGCACTCATCTTGACACTCACTTGTACAAGACTGTCGCTTTTAAGAGCTCCGACGCCGAATTTTTTGGTGGCTGTCGAAAACCTAGCTGCGGAGACCACCTTGGTGCTACCGATACGGCTCTTCAAGTTGCTGATCTTCTTGGTCACCGCATCTTTCGATTTACTGACAAACGTGCCACTTTTGGTAAGTACGTTCAGCTGGCACGGACGACCGATACTCGCTTGGCAGTCACCAGCAGCACTTGGGATGAAAATGCTTCCTTTCGGATCAG